TACAGTGCTAATAGCTGGAAGAACTGAGAATCAAATGTAGGTTTTGTCTGGCTTTTAAGCCCTGAACTTGCTCCCTTTTTGAGGCATGGGCTGCTGGGTATGCCCTAAGTACTCATGGCATACCTTGTCCCAGTGTTTACCTATGGCCTTGGTTCACTGGCTATAGAAGTGTTGGTTGAAAAGCCAGGTAGGCAGTGAGATTTGGTTCCTGGTCTTGGGAAATGGTCCACCAGCCTTAGGTCCACAGGGCAGCATGTTATCCAAGCCATGGTTAAAGGCCTGCTCTTCCCCATCTCATGGGGAGGCTTGTGAGGCTTGATATGCTGGTGCCGAGTTGGGAGGTCTGGGGTTTCTAGAAGATGCAGAGCAGTCTTTGCTTCTGTCTGCAGTATGAGCTGGATTCTAGCCCTATACCTAACCCCTGCCCTGCCCACTCGGTATCTACCCATCTCTCAAGTCCCTGATAGGTAGTATATGGGTGGGCAGAGACACAAGAGCAGCTGTTGATACCTCGTCTTTCCTCTTTGAAGGATCTGATGCTGCTGCCGATGAGGGCTACTTCATCTATTAAACCCAATACACTTGTCGCAGCTGCTAAGCCCCCGTAAGCCGCTGGGCGCTGTGTTTGTGATGGGACTGACAGTGCATGGAGGAGGCTGATTATACACGATTCCATTTCGTGGGCCCAGCAATGTAATTTCACAGGGCGATCAGCGTTTGCATGTAATAGCAGGCTGTGCTGAGGTGTCAGAATATTAAAGGCGCTAATGGCAAAGCTCCCTGTTACACAGGGGGCCACCCGCCGCGCCTACAGCAGGGCTGTGCGGCAGGCCCGTCGCAGATGGCTGGCCACTAAGCTAATGGGGCAGCCGCCAAGGCGGGCAGAGCCACGAGAGGGGAAAGCCAGCCGGGAGCAGCTCGGCACCTGCTTCCCCGCGCATGGAAATTACAGCAGCCCAGGGGAAACGAAGTGTGCGTGCCTGCCTGGCACAGGGCTAGGGTGAGTTGGTTTGGTAGATGCAGCATCTTTCACCCCAACTCCACCAGTCCTTATGGTTCAGCATCAATGCCTGCCATGGACAGGACTCAGAAGCTCCTCAGTCGTCCTTCCATCTACCTTACCCTAGGTGACTCCACAGCTGGGCAGCTGGAGAAGTGGGACCCAGAAAATTTGGAACCAGCATTAGGAGAGGGGCTCAGGCACACGGTATTGGAGAAAGCTATTAAAACAGATTCATGCCCCACACTGATTAAGGTCAGGAAGCCACTGGGCCCCTTCCCCTCACTGCCCACATGCTGATATGAAAGGGAGGAAGTGGGATGAGAAGCAGGTAGGAGTCTCCCCAGGTACTGACACACACCCCTGCAACCTTCAGACATGACCATGGGCCACACACAACCATTCTAGGCTCAGCACCAGGGCTCCCAGCACATCAATCTCCTTGATGCTGGTGTTGCTACTGCCACAGATTTGGGAGGCAGTGCCACAAGATATGGGTCCTTCTCTGAGTTGGCTGCACCAGCCACACCCAAGCCCTGTCATCTTCCTTTGTCCTTCTTCTGCCTGGAATGTTTTATTCCTCTGTCATCTATATTCTGCCCTTCCAGTACCACTTGCTCTGTGCAGCTTTCCTAGCCTCCTCTAACCCACCATGGGCCTGCTTCTCTTCAGTGTCCCCTGTGGTCAATGCCACAGGGCTCAGCCTCTTATTCTCCTGTTCTGATGAGTCCTTCCATGCCAGCCTTGACCTCCCACCTAGAATCCCTGAGACATAGTCCATATCACCTTGCCCTGAGTTGGACTCCAGTTTGTAGCCAGGTACAACCTTAAGGAAGGAGCAGGAGTGGCAGGGTGGCCCCAGTCACCTGAGGAAGAGACTGAGGCTTATGTGGGTGTATGAGAGCCTATATGGTGGGACCTCTCCATGGTGTATAGTCTGGGGAGGGACAGCCTTTAGAAGTGAGTAGTGGGGGTAAAGTGTGTGCAAATACAGGTTCAGAGGGGCAGCAAGTACAAGTGTTCAGACCATAGAGTGGCAGGAACCCTAGTTGCTGTAGTACCCTCTATAGTCTCTGGGTGACTCTGTGTGACTGGGGGCCATGGCGAGGGGTACCCAAGATGTCAGGCAGTGTTAGGGGAATTGATGTACTAGGCCCAGAGTGGTTCTTTGAAGCTGGTGGCCATGTTTGAAAGTTGCAGGGGTGTGCGTCAGTACCTGGGGGAGATATGCCCAGGTTCTCAGCAGGGGCAGCAGGAGGAAAGCCCAGGCTGAAGGAGAGCAGTTTTAATTAACCAGTTTTAATATCATTTTGGACTTTGGCTGGTATGTGAAGGCCCCGCTGGAAGCAGCATTTGTAAAAATTAAATCCCTCTTATTAGGAGCTTGGCAGACCCATGTGCACACGCTGCTCCCTCCCCCCACCTTGTGCCCCCTGAGGAAGTGCTGGATGAGGCCGTGTTACAGCAGCAATTGGTTATCATGCCTTATCTGGGAATATGAAACTGTGCGGCGTGACACCGTGGCTGCAGTGGAGATGCCAATTTATCTCACCCCCACTCTGACAAGCTACACTGCCCTTTCTGAAAGGCATCTGTCAGGCGGGACTGTGCTACCACCCTGTCTGGTTCCTCTGCTCTCCTCCAGAGGCTCTGGCTTGCCCCGGTCAAGCCTGGCCCTCCTGGGCTCTGCTGCCCTTCATCCCCCTTCTGCATGTCCCAGGCTGTGGAAGATCTTGGGGAGTCATTATTATAATAATAATCTAATCACAGTGACGCGTCAGGGCAAGCGTCTAATGTTATCTGAAGTGGTCTTCCCGCTTAACTGCGATAAGGCTCAGGATGACGTGCAGATAACGTTGAGCTGCTCTGTCCCCGAACCAGGAGCAGAGTGGAGGGGCCTTAGCAGCCCTGCCGCCCGCCCGCCCGCCCGCCGCTTTAAGCTGGGAAGCGGCAGCACCTGCTAATGCAAGTGTTTAATATTTGATGGGCTGGGATAAAGCAGGATCACCTTCGAATTGAATTGAGTGTCAGCCGAGAATCTATTACTGAAATTCGGGTGTGATTTGACAGCAAAGTAGACGATGTTATTCTTCACTAGTTACTGCAATCTTCTCCCCGACATCACTTAAATATTTTTTTCTTTGCTTGAGTAAACACACATTATCCTTCTTTTTTTCCCCCTTCCTTCCCTTTTTCCTTTCTAGAGGGGGAAAAAAACCCATCCAGCTCGCCTTTTCCAGGCTGATAGAGTAGATTGTTATTTCTTTATTTGTCCTATTAAATGGAATTTCTGATCGTTTAATCCGGCCTTTGTAAGTGATTTTAAAGTACTTGAAAGGCAGCCGCCACTGCTCTCTGGCCCACTGAGCTCCAGCCTCAGCCCAGCCATTCTCAGCAGCTCCTCCGGTTGGGCCCCGCCCACTGGCTGTGTCCCCTTACTGTTGGTGCCCTGGCTCTGTCCTGGCTGTAGACCAGCATCCTTCCTCTATCCTTGAGTCCCACACCCAGTCTCTGATTTGTGGGTTCAGCTGTGGCCTGGGAGAGGGTGGGGAGGATTGGCTGGGAAGTTGGGCTGTGGCTGGTACCTCTGTGGTCAAGGAAAATGGAAGATACTGAGATTTAAGTACATTGGCTCCTAGTCTCTGAGTGCTTGTGGGGCTGGAGGATTGGTTCCTGCAGCTGGGAAGGAAGGGAACTAGCCTTCTGTCCAGCCCTTGGGCCCTGGCACAGATACTGTGTCCAGCCTCCTGTCTTTTGTTTCTGACTTTGTGCTGGGCCTTCTCTGTATGTAGTGGGATGAGGATCTCCTGGGCCTAGCAGTGGGTGGGGCCTCTGCAGTGCCTGGCTGAGCATGGCTGGAAGTTACTTTGGTTCTGGTGTCAAGCTTTATTTATTTTCCTTCTTGCTGGTCACCTTCCTGCCATTGGGAAAAGGGCAGCCGAGTGTTTGGGAACTTCTGAAGTGAGAGGTGGGTGATGCTTAAAGGGTCGCCTAGCTACCAAGCCCACTGGCAGAAGCTGAGGACTTGGTTGGTACACAAAGCAGAAATTAAATATCCAGCCACTTCAGAGCCTTCTAACCCATACCAGCCTCTTCTTTTTGGGCCTCAGTTTCCTCATCTGTGACAGGCCTTTCATACCTATAAGGGAAGGTGCTGTCCCTATCCTGCCATGTGTTCCCTCCAGATGGAGGTTGCTGGCAGCCAGGTTGCTCAGTAGGAAATGGAGGGGGAAGCAGTGGAGTCCTGGGGACCTGAGCAGATCGATGCCCCTAGCACTTCCTTCCCCAACCCCAGGAAAACAATTAAGTACAGATCGATGGGTGGCCGCTTTGAATATGCATAAGTGAGCACTTGACCTTCAGCAGAGCATCTGCTCCCCCTACCACGAACACACACACACTCACATCATGTACTTCCCTCACAGCTGCCTGAGTCAACCAGGCAGTAACCCTTCTCCTCATTGGAGCCCCACTGGGCACTCAGCCTTCACCACACCCTTGGCTGCATAGTCAGAAGCATTGAGCACAGGCATGTCATTCACCAGCTCTCACTTCCTGTCTGTGGGGTAAAGTTTGGATACACTGGTCTCCTAGGTCCTTCCTCAGCCCAGTCTTTGTGATCAGTGCTACTGGGGAGAAGGGAGCCCAGCAAAGTTCTGGGAGCTCTAGGCAGAGGCAATCTGAGGAGGAGGAGTGCATGGTGAAGTGGGTCCCAGGTGAGATGGAAGATGCTGATAAAGATCTTAGTAAGTGGGAGATTTCTAGAGAGCAGCTCTGGTAGGAGTACCCAGTGAGGGCCAGGGTTCTAATGGGGCAAAGCCCAGGAGGAAGGGGATTCTGAAGAAGGAAGGGGATCCGGGTGGGGGTGTTGGCAAAAAGGGAACCCAGGGTAGCAGTAAAGATAGCCCTTGGTGGGAAGAGTTGGGGGCTAGGGAGGCTGGTGAGTGGGGTCATTTCGGGTTAAGGCCTCTGTTAACCACTCTCACCTCCTGTCTTCCAGGCTTACAGCTTCGCCATGGGCTGCTGGCCCAAGAACGGACTTCTAGACATGAACAAGGGCCTCAGCCTGCAGCACATAGGCCGGCCCCACAGCGGCATCGGTCAGTCCCTCCGCGTATCCCCCTGGCAGCTTGGTCAGTCCCCTGCCCGCATGTCTCAGTCCCCTGGCGCATGGAGGGTTTCCATTGCTCATTCAGTGCTCTGACAGAGTTCCCTCCATAGCCAAGGGGAGGAGAGAAAGGAGGGTGGAGCCAGGGAGTTCCAGACCAGAACCATTGGAAAGGACCTTTCAAAATACCATTTGACATGAGGCTGACTTTTGGGCTTTGAGTGAGTTACAGGTGGTCTCAGATTGAGGCCAACTGCCCTCCCCCCATCCCTTGTGGGCAGTATCCTCAGGGAGGTGGGCACATGTCAGCTTACCCACCCCCTGTGGGGCTAAAGGAGGCTGTTTAATATTGTTTCAAGTCTGTGACCACTAAACTGGACGATCAATGGGAGTTAAGGAGATGAATTATTTAAACCTCACCAGCTTTTAATTAGTCAGGGTCCTTCTGACCGATGGCTCCGTCCACAGGGTATTGACTCTCCCACAGGAGCGCCTCCATTGAGTGGTGCCTGGATTGGGAGGGGCCACTTGGGGTGCTAGGTTGGGGTACACCCTCAGGGGATTCCAACTTGGGACAAGACTGGAATGACTGTGATTCCAGGCAATTGGAGGCTCTGCAGGCTTCTAATGCAGCAGTATAAATATGTGTCTGTGAGTATCATTGTGTCTGCCTATCAGTGACACCTTTAGCTGTGTGTCTCTGTGTGTCTAAGAGTATAATGTGTTCATGATTGTGCATATCTGTTTGAGGTATATATGCATAGCAGTACCTCTGTATTTTTCTAAGGGCATATGTCTGTATATGGAAGAAATCACTAGCTTGTGGGTGGATCTGTTAGAAAGAGTACCTATTCATTTCCGTGTTATCTTATTTTGTGTGCATTTGCCTGTGTGCATGCAGATGTTTTCAGATGACAGACTTGAACCAGGCATAAGATTTGTTCTAAGTAGGGAGGCACCAAGATGTTCCTGGGTGGCACTAGGACCTTGTCATAACTTGATTATTTTGGGAAGGTGTCATTGGTAGGGGCTGAAGAGATGTATGAGAAGGATGGGAGTTGTAGGCACCAGCTGCAGACTAGCCTCTTTATCCATTCTACATTCATTGGTGCCTAGTGAGTGGTGAGCATGCTGAATAAGAGTTCCTGTCCTCAGGGAGCTCACATCCTCAGAAGAGACTCTGAAATTTGCTTGCCAGCCAGGGTACTAAGGGCTGTGATAGAAACATGTAAATTGACCTGAGGGAGGTTTTCCCCTTCTCAATTGCCAATGTAGCTCCTGCTTCTTCATTTACATCTCATTGACTCCTAGGATGTTCCATATTATTCTTGTGAGACATGGCAAGGCCCTCCTAAGGCCTGGTGGAAAAAAGGAAGTGGTCAGCAGGGCCAGGGGAATTGGGATACCCCACCATTACTCTATTTCCTCCTATAGAAGTTTTTCTGTGCAACCTGTAGAAGAAACCAAACACATCTAAATGTATGCCTGGGAGGTCAGCAGAAAGTCCCCTGGAGAAGAAGACACTGGTGTTGGGATCCTTGAAGGATAAATAGGAGTTTGCTAGCCAGAAAAATGAAAGGACTAGGGGCATGAGAAAGCCCAGCATATTGAGAGACAAGTTGAGACATCTACAAGCAGTTTACTGAGATTGGAGTAGAAAAAATGTAGGCTAGGAAATAGCTAGAAAATAAATGGAGAAATAAGCAGGATCTTGAATTCCTGGTTAAAGGGTATGTGTTTTTGTTTCTGTTTTTGTTTTGAGGTTTAGAGGAGATATAGAAAGTTTGTGAGTGAAAGAATGACATGACCAGAGCTCTGGTTCAGGATCATTGAGACAGTTTGTGCTAGACAAAACTGGGCCTTAGAAGATGCTCAGTAAATGCTTGTAGATGGATGGACGAAAAGCTGAGTGAGTAAATGAATCAGTGGAAAAGTGATGGGAAAGGGAGAGAGACCAGAGAGAGAGGACCAGTGAGACTTGCCTTGGTCCAGGGGAGGAGAAGCTGCCTTGTAATGGAGCCTGGCCATGGAAGGAGCATTTGCATAGCCTTGAGCTATGTGTCCTGCTTTTGTGTATGGGAGGGTGGGGTGGTATTTGTGAGGCAGAGAAGCTCCTCTGCCCACTCTTCTTCGGTGCCTGGTGAGTCTCAGTGACACCCCTGTTGTCTCTTGACCCTTGTGACCCTAAGTTAGGACCTCTGAAGTATTTCCCCCATCTGGGTGGGCCCTCCAGGGGCAGCCAAAGGCTCTAATGACAGTAAAGTTCAGGCTTTGAAGCTAGAACTAGCAGTGGCCCTGCCATGCAGAATCATGGAACCTTAGACAAGGGACAGTACTTACTGCTTTTGAGGGGTGTAGCCCATGTAAAGGGCTAGTGCAGTGCCTGGCCACAGTGGGTACTGAGGGAGCTCCCTCTCTGTGGTTCTGCCAACACCAGGGCTTCCTAGGGCACTGGTGTTTTTTGGCACTTGGTCTTTCAGTCTTTGAATGAAAAGGGCTGCCCTGCCAGCTTCTGGCTGGCTCTGAGGTGGGTGAGGGTGCTTGGGGGGGAGGGAGTATGTAGGGCATTAATTGGGCTGGGAGAGGCGGGGAGGGGAGGCGTGGGTTTTGAGCAGTGAGGTTAATGGCCCTAGCGCCAAAGAGACAGCTTTAATGAGCTTCAGCTGCCGGTGCCCCGAGTTACTGTGCGTGCTAAAAGGGTCGCGCTGTAAGAGTTTGATGTGGACTGCTTCCCAGCCCTGGGGTCAGGGGTCAGCTCCTGTCACTGGCCACTCAGGCTGGTCCTCAGTGACATGGTGCTAATTAACTGTGTGAAGAGCTGCCATCCTGGAGTGGGGAGTGGTATGTATATTGGCGGGGGGTGAGACAGCATTGGATGATGCTGGGCAAGGGTTCTGCAGATTCCATTGCTCAGCCATCTCCAGAGTGCTTGGCTCTCCCACAGTTCCATGGGGCTATGGCATTGGTAGCATGGAGGCAGGCTTGCAGAGGGATGGGATGACAAATGCAGGGCTGGGAGATAAGACTGCAGAAGGGGAGAAAGCCAGGTGGGATAGTGATGCATCCTGAGAAGTTTGAGGGGAGCATGGGAGTGTTTGGGGCAGGGGAGTGACTAAGTGAGAGTTAGGCTTTGGTCAGAGTGATCTGATAGTTTGTATAGAAAGGCCTAGTGAAGAGTCTGCATTCAGGGAGACCAAAGGAAAAGTACAAGAAGGTGAGCAAGAGGTGATGGGCAGTTTAGAGCCAGGGCAGTGGCCATGAGAGTGGAAGCAGGGGACCAGGTAAAACTTTCCTTCATTCACTGAACATTTACCTTGTGTCTACTATATGTCAGGAACTGTGACCAGGGCTAGAAATGAATTGGTAAAAATGACAGATACAGCGCCCTGTCTCCACAGAGCTCATAGTTAGAATTGTGAGCTTGGGTCTGAGGACTGAGGGAGAAAATGGGTTGAGGGATGGCTGTGGAGGCCCGGAGTCAGTGGCGCACTGGGCGGAGGGCTTTTGGGGGCTTGTGAACTGACAGCTTATGGTACTGAAATTGGTATGTAGGGGTGGGTCAGAGGCACCGCGTATGTGTTGTCCATCTGCTGACTGTCATGGCAGCTGTGGCTCTACCAGCATTCTGCGTTTGGGTCAGAGGCTGTGAGGTAAGGAATCCTGCACAGGGAAACTAACCCTTTCTTTTATTCCAGCAAAGGGTTAGCAAAGCATTCACATTACACTGGGGTACTTTCTATTAACCGATTTAGTTTTCACAGGCAGGCATCATCATTCCCATGTTATAGATGAGGAAATTGAGGCTCAGTTCCATGACTAGCCAGTTGAGTTGTCAGGATTCAAACCCAGGTCCACCCACATGCAAAGCCTATATTCTTACCACTCTGCTGACCTATGAGGTACCTTTTTTTGGTTTTGGCTTTGTGCTCCCAACAAAATGATAAGGAAGAAGACAAGCTCACTTTGCTCATTTCTCTTAGTGCTGCATGAAACCTACAAGCCATGACAAAGCTTTGGCAGCAAGAGCTGAGGAGGAAAGAGAAGATGACACTGCTGTCCATCAGACCTGCTGCAGCCAGGGCCCTGCCCCTGCTGGCCTTTGGCCCTGACAGGCTTCCCTCTGTGATTGCAGTTTGCTCTCTACCTCTTGGCCCAGGAAAATCCTGGCCATCTTTCAAGGGGCACCTCCTCTGGGGCTCAGCCTGGCCTTCCTAGTATGAGCATAAAGAAGACACGTTTGGTCCAGTGTCATTTGTCAGAGGGAATGACAAAGTCCTTCATCTCTGAGCTCCCTAAGGCAGGGCCTGGGCTCCTTCCCTTCATTTTGGAATTCTGTAGAGGAAGGATCAGTAGAATCTCACCTGCTATTGTGGCAGAGAGGCCCATAGACTGCTGGTTTCAGATGGCTAGCCGAATAACTCGAACCTTCCCTGATGCCTGACTGGGTGGTCTTGCCCTGGGAACTCAGTCCCCGTGCTCTAGGACTCAGGAAGGATCCCTCTGAGGCTCAAGGACCGTATTCAACTGGACTCCCGGGTGCTTGCTGCCCAGCACAGTTTGGCCAGAGAGCTGGGCTGGCAGGTGGCAGGATGGGGTCTAGCCGCAGGGTGGGGGCACTTCTGGCCTGTGGTGTCCCCTGACGGAGTGGACTGTCTATCAGAGTCCAGTCAGAAGGCATTAGCTCTGTGACACAGATCTCATTAGTGGCCATGAGAGGTGTCACTGCAGGAGAATCGTCGGCTCAGGGAGACGCTTGTACCAAAAGGAAGAAAGGACAGTGACAGCCTTTTCTCTGCCGCCTCTGCCGCCACGCTCACTGGGCTGCCCGCCCTCCTCCTCGTGGTGGTGGGGGGGGTGCTGGCTAATGAGCTCGTCTATAGTGCAGCTTCGCCTTCCCCTCCTTGAAGTTTCCCAGGTCCCTCTGAAGACCTCAGGCCTGGGATTAGCACACACCAAACACCGGCCCCCCTCTTGCCCAGCAGGGAGTTCCTT